TGACCCGAAATCTATAACGTATCTTAATACATGGGGTCAGCCACGCTTCCCCCCTGATCAGCTCCAACATCTACTACTCATGGTGGTATCTTAACCGCAATAAAAAGCGTTCAATTCTAAGAAATTACCCAACAATCAGTCTGACTGCTGTCTGACGTGTTCAATAGAAATTACAAATAAAAGCATTTTAATTTGTGCTTTCTGCAATTCTCCAAAAAACGTCAGTTAAAGATATTCAACTGAAAATTTCAAAGTTTTGCTTTACTGTCTGCCGAAAACCAAAGCGTCTATTAAAAACCAAAGCGACGATAATTTGCGGCGGTTTAAGTTTTTATAGTGCAAATTGGACCACTTTAAGCAGTTTTGACGAAGATGAAAACATGGCCAGGCAGAACTTTTCTAATCAGCTGTTTAAATAAACAGAAGATATTGAAAGTTTTTTACCCAAAAATTCTCACAATTGACTTACCATGTACCAATAAACTACTTAAAAGTCCTTCATTCCACAATCTACACGTAATTAAATTTTAATTTTTTCCAATTAGATAATGCGCGCCAAGATTTTTGCGAAAAAACTAGACTTTTCCACACAAAAACAAAAAAAAATGTTTTTCTTACTCTTACCATCACACTGAATCCTTACCATCGATTTTCCTATTTTGACACAGTGTAGACTCTATACCCAATCTTAATACATAGCGAGGTTGACCCGAAATCTATACCGTATCTTAATACATGGGGTCAGCCACGCTTCCCCCTGATCAGCTCCAACATCTACTACTCATGGTGGTATCTTAACCGCAATAAAAAGCTTTCATTTCTAAGAAACTACCCAACAATCAGTCTGACTGCTGTCTGACGTGTTCAATAGAAATTACAAATAAAAGCATTTTAATTTGTGCTTTCTGCAATTCTCCAAAAAACGGCAGTTAAAGATATTCAACTGAAAATTTCAAAGTTTTGCTTTACTGTCTGCCGAAAACCAAAGCGTCTACTAAAAACCAAAGCGACGATAATTTGCGGCGGTTTAAGTTTTTATAGTGCAAATTGGACCACTTGAAGCAGTTTTGACGAAGATGAAAACATGGCCAGGCAGAACTTTTCTAATCAGCTGTTTAAATAAACAGAAGATATCGAAACATCTTCCATGAACATTATGGATGGAGTATTTCACAGAAACTGTTTGAATATCAAGAAATAATAAGGTCTACAAGAAAAACAAATCTCATACTCAAATTTCTAAAAAGCTTAAGCAGAACAAAAAAATTGTCGAAAACAATGATAAAGAACGATCACTCAACCTCATCAAAAAATGAAAAAAAAAAAAGAATTTCAAAGATAACTTTTTTCATTTAATTTTTTTAAAGCGAAAACTGTGGTCAGTTTCAGAAACATACAAACTTTAAATCCAACCATAAAAAAATCAGCATGTCGAAAAGAACAATTAACGAAAAATCAATAGATTTGGATGCACCCGCACTCATTAAAAAGAGAAAATAATCGATTATATTATAATTATAATCGTACTTTTAGCAAATTTATAATTAATTAAAAGCGCTGATTTTAGATGTTTAAGCGATTTACAATTCATTTTTCATTATCTAGTGCAGAATTTGGCCTCTTAATGAATTCTTTGTTAATCTTCTTCTTCGCAAAAGTTCTGCACAAGCTACTTCTTAAATGAATTAACACGTCATTGTAAATAGTGGCTAAAGTAATGTGCATAATTAGACATTATATCCTAATTTTGTGAATGAAGGGAAATTGCGTATTCGTAAAATAACAGATGCTCAAAAATTGTTGATAGTCAAAACTAATTTGAAGTTTTTGTTCCCGAGTCGAGATTTTTCACCTAATTTGAAGCAAGATTTGAGCGGTTTGAGCGGTTTTTTTAGATAATTACGCTCAAAATCTTGCTTCAAAATGATCGGTTTGAGCGGTTTTTGAACGGTTTATCTAAAAACACCGCTCAAAACCGTTCATATTTTGCGCGGTTTTTGAGCGGTTTTTTTTAGATAAACCGTTCAAAAACCGCTCAAACCGCTCATTTTGAAGCAAGATTTAGAGCGTAATTGTCTAAAAAAACCGCTCAAACTCCTCAAATCTTGAGCGGTTTTTGAGCGTTTTTTTTATAAATCGCTCAAAAACCGCTCAAACCGCTCATTTTGAAGCAATATTTTTGAGCGCAATCGTCTAAAAAAAACGCTCAAACCGCTCAAATCTTGCTTGAAAAACCGTTCAAACATCACCGCAAGAAATCATCGGTTTTTGAGCGGTTTTTTAGGCAAGATTTGAGCGGTTTGAGCGGTTTTTCCAAAAAAACCGCCCAAATCACCCAAATCGCTCAAATCTTGCTGGAAAACCGCTTAAACCGCTCATATCTTGAGCGGTTTTTGAGCGGAATCTCGACCCGGGTTTGATCAACTTAGAGAACAAAAAAAGCTAAGCAAGATTGCCGAAAAATCATAACCAAGAAAAAAGTCAATTGAGCCAAGTTTTAGTTCAACGCTTTGAGAAATTGGCAAAACTGCTAAATTGATAAATTTAGTCAAAATGGGGTCTTGATAGGGGTTCCAAGGAAAAACAATTGAGTCTACCTAAAAACAGGTCAACAAAAATTTCGAAAATTTTTTGAAACTCCGTTTTCTTCCCTGTCAAAAATTCCTGCATCCGCGTCTGTTATTTACGGCTGTTATTGAATGTGCTTCTTCGAATTATTTTAGGCTAACTTTATGAGCTCTACAAGCTCTCCCTTTTTAGGTTTTACGAGCTATCCCAAATCACGTAAACGCCCTGTTTTGCCAAAAGTATCTGCTGACAAGTTTTTTAAACGAGCCAAGTATACCATTTTTGGTCTCGGTTTGAAAGGTTTTTATCAAAATTTCCTTTTTTTTGGCGCGCAATCGCCATCATATTTATAAAACTTTTTTTGTTTCGTCGTAGGAAAATAAAGTTCATGAAATATAGCACTAAAGCTGGTCCCTTCGCGTGGTCAGTGAATCAAATCCTGGAAAGTTCCCCCTTAAAATCTCTCCTATTGTTGTAGAACTCCTGTAGTCAGGTGCGGATCTAGGATTTTCTCGAGGGGGGCGGATTTTCAAAAAAAAACCTTGTTTTTTAGGTCGACCAAATTGATTTTCCAGGCTGTGCCAGAGCACTAAAAAAACTGGCAGGCAAATTTTTGAAAACAGGCCAAAAAAGGCGTTTTAGGCGCTTTTTGGAAAATGTTGAACAAAAAATCGCGTTTTTTCGGCGCGCTCTCCCACTTCAAAGTTAGTATATTTTGGCGCCGAAGACGCCTGTAGAAAAACTTGTCAGACGCCTGTCAGTCAGCCAAAAATGGATATTTTGAAATAGTTCAAAGAGGGGACCCTTTGGGTCGGCATGTGATCGAATCCCTGAAAAAAAGGCGACCGCGCCCTCCCCCCGCTCCTCCCCCCCCCCCCCCCTAAATCCGCCCCTGCCTGTAGTTAAGTTTATCAGAGGCCCTTTTTCGATCCCTTTCATCACTAATTTGGTCGCCTCAAAACTTCGAAAAAATTGAAAGAGCTAAACATGGCGCGGGCTTGTCCGATCGTAACTATGGCTTTTGATGACTAACTATGACTGACCGCTTTTGAAATATTAGGTGGTAAGGCGCAACTGCCTTCGTCCTTACCCCAAAGACGCTGCCCTTATTATCTATCTATAACTGAACCTATTCTGCGAAAGGACACCTGATCAGCATAATCTTCAGCTACATCGGCTGTTGTTTGAGGAGTGCAAACTTGCCAAGATTAGATTTGTTGATCTGGGCATTCATTAATTAAAACTGTGACACTTTCAAAATCGGACTGAAAAGATGGTTGAATGGGATTGTTCGCTTTTGAAACACTAATATTTGATTTGGGCAACGAGCTTGTTGTCCAAACCCCACGATTGACACGTATGTAGTTTGCCTAGTGAAATAATTGGAACAAAAATTATAAATAACACCTTGTTTGGTGTTTACCAAGTCCTCATTCATTATGCCTCCCATTGCTAGTTATCGTCAATATCATATTTTTTATAGTTTGCTGAAACTAGAGTGAAACCATTAATTAATTGCTGTGACACTTTACGAGTTTATTTAGCCATTTTAATACGAAGTAAATTGCCTGAAAACAAAAAAATATGATGTCTAATCAATCAAAACTTTACTTTCGACAGTCTTGGAAAGGATAGCCTAGCAATTAAATAAACTTCAATTTCCGAGTTAACCACATTCCTTCAATAATATCGTCTGAAAAGTTGAGTTGTGAATGTGAATAAAAGTTCGCACCGTGAAATAAAATCATTCTCAGATTAAGGGCAGAACTTCAGGATTGAAGGAGGGCAAATCGTAAGATTGATGCACGCTTTGAACAACTTCGAAGTTCAGAAGTCACAGGAACCGCTCTCATTTTTCAAATGCAAACTTTAAAAGCTGAACTTTAAATTAGAAAACATTTTCTACCTTCTCAATCTAGAATGTTCATAATTTGATTTGCCCAAAAATACTGAAAACGGTTTAAATACCGAAGTTTGCTTTTAATTTTACGTGTTCTTTATGTTCGTCTGTTTTCTCAATTTTTGTTTATTTTTGCTCTGGATTTCTTTGTTATCTGGATGCGTCCGGTTCGAGAATGCGTCCCATAGCAGTTAAGCTTGAAGAAATTTTTAAAGAATTCTTATTTGCATTTTCGTTTGCTTTGCGCCAACTGTTGTACAGTTTAATTAAACTGGTTTGTCAATAAATTTACAAATAATTGGGCTTAATTATCAAATTTAATCAGTAGATCGTGCCACAACGCACAAGCCGGCAGCATCATCTTAGACCCAGAAGTGCCGGTCTATTTGCTTAACAGCAATTCGAAACTCTTCTAAAATCAACAAAACAACCGCATTTTTTAAAGGTTTTGTTAAAACTTGCAGCGGGCACGGTCGCACTAAAATTGTTGTGATTGTTGTGATTATTGTGAATCATAAAATTAAATCACGAGTTTTAAAAACTTCGCTTAAACTTCTGCATCCGCAAGTCTGAAAACTTGATTTTAAATTTATTTACTGGTCGATGATGTTGATGATGATGATAATTACAAGTTGATTCACGCCAAATTCGTACAACGTTTTTCAATAACAGTAGAACGAAAATAATTGGTTAGTAAATTACAGCCCTCTATTACTAATCGCATACCTTGATAAATGCAATATGATTAGCTTCTAGCTCAAAGCTGACTTATTTTTGCTCTGGAGTCCTTGATCTGACAAATTGAGCATCGTTATCAGAATCTAAACAATATCAACACTTCCAAAATCCAAGACCCCTAGAACAGTTCCTCAATATAGAATTCGACATTCGCTTTTGATCCTTGAGTCTCAAAAATTGAATAAGGCTCCAGTTAAGTTTACCCGTGACAAACCCTATAGAGCCGCAAACAAAGAACATCCGCACCTGAAGTCTAGTCAAAAACGATCCAAACATTCTTCTGTCGACTCTAAATTGAAGTCAACTCTAATCGCTTATTTGGTTAAATCAAATTTTAGTTCGCTATATTGGTTGAAGTGCAGTTTTAAGTTTCATACACAACCCCGAAGTTGTTCTTAAGTATAAACTTACTCAAGATAAATTTAAAGTCTTTTCTCAAAATTTATCGTCCTCAATTTATTCACACAATTCTTGGAACAATTCGCCTTACTTCCTTAAAAAATAGAGCTGAACAAACTTTAAACTGTAATTGATCTCCATTTTGTTCACATCAGAATTGGGCTGATTACTTTGAAAACTTCGCAAAATAAGCAGCTGTTCCGCCCCATTTTCAAAATTAAGTTCATGCCAAGAGGATTTTGGAGGGTAGACAAAAAGTTTTGCCTGAAATCAAATATGTCAAAATTTTCTTCTACCATAATGAATCAACACCTTCCAGCTTCATCTCTGGTGGACCAGGAAGTTTTCCGGCCTTGGGAAACAACAATTATTCCTAAATCTTGCCGTGAAAACAAAGAACTGGCAAGTGATGACAATATGAATATATTGACAGCTTTCAAACAAGAAATAATCGAAAAAAGTTTTGTCTCGAGAAAACAAAACTACTCCGATTTTTTTCTTCAATCTAAAGAACAGAATAGCGAAGAACACAGCGAGGCGAGTCCAGGACAAATAATGCGCAACAATGATGACGATGAACCCAGTGCGAAGTATTTACGACAATCTCTTGCATGCTTTGAAGCAACAGAAAATGAAGAGCCCGATGAGAAACTTTTGAGCTCGCTGACATTTCACAATGAAGGAATCTCATCGTCCGCGCTAAGGTACGTTCAATGACAAAATGCATTTTTTTTCGGTCTATAATAACCCAGAGGATGCTATATATTAGAACAGACATAGAAACAAACATTTTAAAATCAGAAAGTGTTTTTCTTGTCTAGGTCTCCTGAGCCTTTGGATGAGCCGCTGGATCTAAGCATGGAGGAAAAATCTATTGACAGCAACCCAGATAAACCAACCGCTGGACTTCCCCCGTTGCCAGCTCTGATCCCCTTTCAAAGTGAATGGAGGAAAACTGAACGAGGAAGCCATGGCAGTCCAAACAATCTTTTCCATTCAACACCAGTTTCGAAACAGGTTCTACCGCCTGTGATCTCCCTCAGAAGCAGCCCTCGGCCGAGATCTCGGGATCAAGTCCAATATTTTAACCCATACGGTCATCTGTCCAACACGAGGTTGTCCCATCACCAGCTTAGCCCTTCTTTCACCCCCACCACTTGGGCTCAGCAGACCCAAGCGGCCGCAGCTGCGGCTGCTACCAGCGCAATCATCATGCAATCTCGCTTGGCAGCCGCTCACGCAATGAGAACTCAAGCTCTTCGCAATAACTCGCAGCCGCGTTTTTTCGAAGAATTGTCGTGCAAAAAGCATTTGTCGGATCCGCAAATTCCTGTCAAGCGAAAATCAGATGAATTTTCGAGATCTCAACACGAGTTGAGTTCGAGTATTGAAGCAATTCCACCGTTGCAATTTAGTTTCCCGAACTTACATGAACAGTTTCGTAGAAAACCAACGCCCTTTTCACCGTAAGTCTTTTTTAATGTAAATGAACCATTTTTCCATGCACCAGCCCCCAGTTAACAAAATTAGCATCCGATTTTGATTTTAGTCAACTTTGTGAGCTTTTTAATTTTTTTTCTGTATTGAGACAATTTTTTTGACTTTATAATTTGTTCTCCTGTTTTTAGGGATTGCAGTGGTGTGAGTCCAAATCATACGTCAGGATCTCAATCCGTCAATTCCGACGGAGCTAGCACTAATAAAACTTCACCAAACTATCTACAGAAACTGACATCAGATACCATTAGAGCTTCACTTGAAAAAATAGACTCAAGCGAACTTGACTTCGACGAATCAACTTCAGAACATGAGCAGCAAACATCAATGAAGAGTTTTCTAGCCGATTGCAAAAAGAAACAGCCTAAAACTGCTGCAGAGTACCAGTGCAACTTTTGTCCCAAGACATTTCCGAGGGAGAAAACCCTTCAAACCCACTTACGAGTCCACACCAGTAAGCCATTTCATGAAGACTCCATTAACATTTCACTTCTGCAAAAGTTTGTTTTCTCGTTCGGGTGACCGCCTTTCATTGAAATGAGTTTTTAACAAAATTCAAGAGCAATTGAAACTCAATTTGAAATATGATTTATCCTCTGCTTAATCTTAACTCTTATTATTCTAAAACATCTGTTCAAGGACACTCTAAGCATTTTATGTTAGATTCGACAGCTTTAAGCCTGGATCGATAACTGCACTAAAAGATTGACTTTTATGTTCTTCTAAAATGAAGTAGAAACGGGGTTTTGTTCAAATTAATTTTTTTAGGAGAGCGGCCCTTTGCGTGCAACTACCCAGGGTGTCAAAAGGCATTTGCCCAAAGTGGTCAACTGAGAACACATCACCGACTTCATTCGGGTGAAAAGCCCTACCGATGTCCCAATGGAGGTAATAAATCACATCAGTTAATTAAAATGTTATTTATTGTAATCCAAGGGAGAGATTAAACCTGAAATGACTTTGATGTTTAGTTTCATTTCATCAAAGAAATATCAAAGGCATTAAGTTACGCTTACACATGTGCATGTGCTAAAAATAAAAGTAGAATTCTTTGAAGTTGATTTAATTTCAACTTCAAAAATGTTTATTTCTTCAAGTATTTGGTTTTTTTTAGAAATTCACTTCCGGTACTCAGTCATTTTGAAGAAAAAAAAACAATATTCGAGCTTAATAGATCAAACGTGAATTATGTGAACTAAATCAATTCACTCATGAAATGGTCGCCCTTTTTGGAAAGAATTTTAATATTGAGCGTTTTGTTATGTTTTTTCTAAGTTGAGTTGCAGAGCTTCGTTGTCCTTCGTGTTCAGCACCAGGCGAATCTTGGATTTTTTTCGAAGGGGGCTCTCGAAATCTTTGACCAACCAAAATCCTAGTTAACCCCGTTTTTTGGCCATTTTGGAAAGTTTAACCCTATTTAATCTCTGTTCAACGCTAATATTTTTTAAACTTCAGATGTTGGACAGAAAAAGAATGCATGAAACAACTGAATTTTGAAATTGAAGTTAATGTTAATGTTTCTTATGTTGATTATCTAGATTGCAAGCAACGCTTCACTCATTCGAATCGCAAGTGTCTCCAGCATCCAGAGGCAGTTTTGATCAAGGATGCAATCCGAATGTCTTATCAAGACATCCAGAGAAACCACTCCAGCCTCAGCGATCCAGAAAAAGCTTGGATGCGCTGGTATGTTGATACTTACTTCGAGAACGAAGTCAACTACCAGAGGTGTATGAATAAGTACCAACAGCGCAGTTTGCCAACTTTTCCGACCGGAAATGACTCGCCAGACGAGGTTAAGTCGGACGAAATTAAAACAGAAACCCGAATGGCGGAAACAACCGCGGAACAACGTTCGCTAGCAGTAGCGATTGCACTAATGGAATTGTCACAACTGAAGCGTCAATCTACACCGTCGCCCAAATCTGCTATTTAGATATCGCGACTAGAAAAGTTGATAAACTAAATTATAAAACTATCGATATAGATTATATAGACACTATGCTCTTATTTACATGCTGTTGTTATTTATCAGCTCATATAAAACGAAGTTATATTCAAAAACTGGATTTGAATTTGAGTTTTTATTGAAAAGAATGAGATTGCTTTGCAATCCATTGTAAGCTCAATCAACCGAGTGAAATTTCAACTATTTGAGAGGATCGCTACAAAAAAATTGTTTTGTGATAATATTTTATATGTAGATGTACCCAGACAAGATATCGCATACTTGGAGATCTTTATGGGTACTATTTCTTTCATTGAACCAAAAACTGCAAAAAAAATTTGGGAAACTGATTGACTAACGTGTCGACTTATGTATCGGCCCTGGTCAGGCCAGTTTTTTTTATCAAGCCTGCTATTTTTCTTTGACTTTCTTGGCCGTTTTGGTTTCCACGAATAAATAGCTAAGATTTATGGAATTTGGAAGATCTTGTGGAATCCACGAGCAAATAATATTATGTGTATAGCAAACTTACGCTGTCGCCCACTCCGCATCTGCAAGCAGAAGAATCCGCGTCCAAAAAACTCACGTTACAATCATTTGTGTGTGGGATCCCCGGAAAGTTTGTCGAAGGAATCCTTTTAGATTTTGGAAGACAATTTTAGACTTGTCTCTGGATTCCAGAGACCTAGATGCAATAAATTTTGCACCTATCTTGTGCACAGTTTGGCCTTGTAATGTAATTTTCAATTTTTTGCGGATAGTTTTTCAGGAGCCACGAAGTTGCTAGAAAAACATTTTTGACTGGGACACTGAGGACATTTTTTGCATCCCCACAGCTTGTTTTTTCTAACATTTCTTTTAAATTTCGAAAATACTAAGTGGCTATACTGCGGTCTCAAAGCTATATCAAATCTTTATGGGCTTTTTGATGAGTTTTCTAGATTTTGCAAACAAACTCTGCAATTTTGTACTTTTAGGATTAAGAGTATTGAAGTTAAAAAAATTAACTAAAAAAATTCTAAAAATCAAGCTTTGGGGGATGCAATAAGTGTTTTAAAAGTGTCGTTGAACCGCATTCAAAAACTAATTATCTGGCAACTTCGTGGCTCGGGAAAAACTATCCGCAAAAAAATTGAAAAATTAGAATTCAAAATAAGAAAAAAAATGCATTGTTGTTGAATGGTAGTGTGGTAAGGTAACTAATAACCTTGCTGTTGTCATTTAATTTCTTTCTTGGCGTAGACGTGCTCGGAACGTACGCCTTCGCAGGGGATGACAGTGTGCTCGTGTTTTGTGCATTGGATGGTCCCGACTCATCTGCTGCTGTTGCAGCTTTCTGTCGTCTTGCCTCTTGGCAGGTTTGCTTTCTTTTACTTTATTTAGCTCCTTTGGACACCGAGCTACTTGGTTTTTCCACAACTGGTCCCACAACTAGCCCATTTTACTGAGGCCCCCGTTCACTTCTGTATCCTTGGATGTGACGTTTAAATGGCTATCTTGGTATAACGCTGCGGCAATAACCATTTCTGATCTCTCTTGTATTTCCGGCTTTTCATCTGAATCGCTATTTGTTTTCTGTTTTCCGCTGTCTTTTTTCTTTGATTTAATTTTAGGCTTATCGCCATATGGGCTTTTTTTTGCGTTGCCTTTCTTCGGACTTTTCTCCTTCAGCCCACTGGTGTCCACTTTTGTTTTAGCGATGTCGCTTTGTCTATAGACTGCACCAGCAGCCGTCTTCACTGTATGGGGAGTCTCTGATTGCACCTTGCCTTTTAGTGGGTTTGTTAATGCTTTTCCACTCTTTCAGTTTTCATCCTTTCTCAATAGGTTGGCTGATCTTGGCTCGTCCTCTTGCGGTTTGTCTTCAATGAAATCATACTCCCATGAGTACAAGAGTTCCATGCGCAAATCAGGATTGATTGTGCTCGTTTCATCGACAATTCGCCTTAAGTCGTTCGCAGAGGTGTCTCATCTAGTTGCGTTCCGCCGAGCGTTGGCTTCAAAAAGCGTCTTTAACTCTTTTGTTCGGTCCCTATTTTTCGCAGATTCTACCTCGGATTTAAATAGTGGGCTGACCTCTCAACTGCTTTGTCCCTTTCTGACGAACATTACGTTGTCTCTTGACTGGTCAGATATTTTCTTGAGCTGAGAGGCAATTAATGCTGAACGCTCCAGATGTTCTTTATCTAAACGAGCAGAATTGTTAATAAACGAATCCCTTAGGATTTTAAACTCAGTTTTTGGAAGGCCTCCGAAATGAGCTTCAAATGGCGAACATTGGATCGTCTTTTGCTTGCTTCACCTAAGATCCCAAATTTTTGTGCTCTGAGCAAGTTTTATTGATGTGACATTTTCGTCCAATAACATAACTCCTAATCTTTGTTTGATAGTTTGTTTTGTTCGTTCGACCAGACCACATCACCTGTGGTCCCCCACTGGACAGAATTTTTGTTCAATGTTATGCTCGGTACAGAATTTTTTCATCGTTTTACCTTTAGAGCCCGAGAATTGATCAGTTCTTATTGATTCTGGTATTCCATGTATGTCAATATAAGTACGTACAAATTTCAGTGATGGTTTACCCCCAGTCGACTTTGTGATCTTCACCGACAGAAATTTCAAATATCTATATATAGCTACAAGTAGGTAAATTTTTTTTCTTTTTTTATCTTCTAAAGGTCCCGCGTAATCTAATTGTAGTTCTTGTACTGGCTGCAAAAGCTTCGGAAGTGGTTTTGAACCATTTTTTGGCATAATATATTTAGCATTCTTACCATAGCGAGTGCAACTCCTACATACTTCAGTCATATTCACAACATCTTTGAGCATATGTGGCCATCACCGGTATCTAGACACGTCAAGCCTTGCCTCCTGTCCTGGGTGGCCGCGATGTATCCTCTTTAGGACTGCTGGACGCAGCTGTCCTGGAACGGCCAATCTACCGTCCACGATGATGCAATCGTCTACGACGGACATCTGGTGCTATAGCGAATTCGTGTAAGTGCCCATTAACTCGAAGCTCTGTCGATCTTTTTGCTCTATGATCTTTCCCAGCCTGTTCATCCATGTATCTTCTGTAGTGAGTTCTGCTAGGAGATTTCGATCAAATAGTTTCGAAAGATTGAGTAAGTTAATGTCCTCTAGATGTTCTGCCTGCCTGAAATCGTCTTGTCTCGATTTCCTTTCGGTCTTTTTCCCCGCAACTAGGCTCATTTCTGGGCTTTCTGACGGTGTATCAGCTGTAAGGTCCACTTCAATGATTTTTGAATCATTCGCATTTGGGATGTTTCCTTGTGGGCTTGTCAATTCCGTTGATGCTTCCAATTCCAACATGTTCTCCGGTGTTATTTTATCAGTTCGTTCTGATCCCACTAAGTCCCAAAAGGACATTAGCTTCCTTGGTTCCGCCCGTGCTGTTGATTGTTCCGTGTCCTTTCATTTATTACGTATATACACTTTTCGCCATTCGACTTGCGGTATATCTGAGTCCGAATTGTCCCCATCATTTTCTGTTGCTCCTCTCTGTACTGTTCTTGATTTTTGAAAGGTTGTCTCCGTCACTTGTTCTAAAATTTCATCCAGTCTTCCCTCAAAATCCATTAGTTTTACTGTCTTGTTCGGTTTTTCTTCAATCTGCTATCTTGCTAAACTCCTCTTCTTTTCTGCGTTTTTTGGATTGTTTATTTTAGTATCAACCGACTGTTTACAATGAAGTATCTTCCTTAAATTATTTTGTTCGCAATTTGAGAGACTTGAGTTTTGACCGTTTTCGTTCCGGTCGAGCCTTGTTCGTTTTTGAACACAACAGTTGCTATAGCAACCAGGGTATGACATGTCCTGTGCTTCTTCCAGTTTGTGTCTTAATTTAGAATGGTCTAGAATATTTTCATTTTTATTGCGAGTAATGTTTGTTGTATCAATTAGACGATTGTTTGAGCAGTTGAGTGCTTTATGGAATTGATCAATCGACGCTACAACAAGCTTCTCATCTAATTTTGACTCAGGCCACTGTTCCCCAATCGGGTCTCTTGACAGGTAATCTACAATTCCCATATCTTTACCCGGTTAATGGACCACTATAAATTGGTAAGGTAGCAGACTGTCTACCCACCTAGTGAGTCTAGATTGATACGCTTTATTAGATTTATGTTCCCCTAATGCTGATGTGAGGGCTTTATGGTCTGTTGCTAGAATGAATTCTTTTCCTAAAAAATAGTGTTTAAACCGGTCAACTGGCCATATAACTGCATGCAGTTCGAGCTCATTTGTCAAATACGTCTTTTCTTGTAAACTAAATTAACGTGATGCGAATGCAATTGGTACCCAATCGTCCTCGTCTCTCTTTTGTTCCAGGGTCGCCCCGAGGCCGCTGTAGCTTGCGTCGCATTTTACCCCAACTTCTTTCAGGGGGTCATAATAATTTATTTGTGCGATCCGTGCCACCGCCTTTTTGATCTACTCGAAAACTAAGGAGTGCTTTTCCCCCTACTCAAGTTTTTCTTACAGGCAATTTGACATTTTCCCTTTTCTTTTTCCCCTTTTCTTCTCTAAGCAACGGTTTAAACTGGTCGGTCAAGCTCATTGCGTTAGGAATAAATTTAGAGAGATGGTTGATACTACCCATAAACGATCTTAATTGTTTGAGCAATTTTTGGTGTTGTAGACTGAGTATCGCTTCTGTTTTGGTAACTTTAGGTGTTATACCACTTGGTGTAAGTTTATGTCCTAACCAATTAACTTCTGTCTGAAAAAATTCGCATTTCGCTAATTTTAGCGCTAGATTTTCATCATCCAGTTTTTTAAGAAAATTTATCACCGGCTTTTGCTGTTCTTTTTTCTCCCCTTTAGAAACAACCAATATGTCGTCCAGGAAGCAAAATGTGTTTTTAGCACGGTTTAAACTATGATCCTTAGCCTTTTGAAATTCTGCGAGCAAGTTCGCTAGCCCGTAAAACCCTGTGAGGAACCTGTATGTTCCTGTTGCTTGCCCTCCGACTATGTTGAAATTACATTGCTCAGCTGTTTCAACAATTAATCGAAATTGGCTATACGCGTACTTCA